ATCTTACGTCGAACCGTGAAAAATTCGACATCGGTACCTGCAAGGTTCCAGCGAACCTTTAGTTTCGGCGTCGATGTCGTCGCAGGCGGTTTGGTCTTGAAAATCTGGGCCTTTGAGATACCATGTGTAGGTGAAACTGCGAGGATCTTCTCACGTATCACGTACACTCGGTTGGTGTTCCGAGCGGGAGAACGCTGTCGTTGGCTGGACTGCGATGTCCGACTGGAACGGGAGCCAGATCGTGAATCTCTCTGAGACCATCGTGTACCGCCGGGACTACGTGATCGGCCTTGCCGCTGAGACGAACGAGACGGCGATCGCGAGTCCTTCTGGGACCAGCGAGTGCCGCCTGGGCTCTTGGAAGGCTGTCGAGTGTTCGTTGAGAAACGACGGGTGCCCCCCGGACTCCTGGAGTAAGCCCTGCCCCCCGGACTCCTGGTGGAGGATCGTGATTTCTGCGACCAGCGTCTACCACCTGGGCTTCGGGAGGGAAACCTCTGTTCGCTTCTGGGCCTGCTGGGGCTGCGAGGCGGCGTCTTGAAGCCATTTTTATAGTGGGCAAATTTGCAATTATCCCCGTTGGTGCAACTACCCTTCTGGTAGAAGACGCAAGGATGCACGTGGTGCCGGTTGCAACCAGTGCCGCGCTGACACATATTACCCTTTGCAAAATCGTAGCAAAAATACCTGGCAGCCGGAGGCCTCGAAGTAGCCGCGCCAGAGGCGCTGCCTCGAGCGTCTCTACGATGTTGAGATGATTGGCGATTCCTGGGAGGATCACGAGACGACGGGTGGCGTCTGGGCGGCGGTTTCTTTTCAGCAGCGTGCAGGAACTTACATGTATCTGGACGGGGACACCCTTTGCCCTTGAAGAAAGGGACGCAATGTGAGTTGCGGCTTGATTGTTTGATCTTAGTCTTGGCAGGGGCAACGGTGTCCCGCGATTCTTTTTGCATGCTATATTGGTTCTTCTGTAGCTTATATAAATCAAGAACATCGTAAACTCTTTGATGGAGCCACTTATATGTCTTGATTACCTCTCCGTTCTCATCTTTGGCTCCAGCCTTGGCTTTGTTGTATTTGCTCATGTCTTCTTTCATCCAAGGGTGCCTCTGAACCTGAGTACGAAAGAGGGATTCCATGATGTACATCTCGGGTAGTTTGTTAAGAGCCAAAAGTAATCGATCCCATTCGACGATGAAACGCTGGAGATCGTCTCCGTGCATGCGTAGATTCTTGATGCGATCAAAGTCGTGAAGGTGGTCCTCGGCAACCGTGACGTCGAATGAACGGATAATTTTCTGATATACCTGACGTCCTTTAAGCATGCGCTTTGCTTTGTGTTCAACGTCCTCTAACAGCTTCATTTGCAATCTTAGCTCATGTGGGAGGATCTCGAGAAGAGCGTCAGCTAACTTACAGTCGAGGCTCTCAAAGTCGCCGCTGTCGGCGAGATCCTCAAAAGTCATCTCAGGGTTCTCCGCTACCATGATGAAGGCGTACGCCTGAGCTGGGCGTCCAGAGGCGTTTCTGAAACCCTTGCGGACACCGTTCATCCAATCAGAGACTCCTGTGATCTTAGGGAAGCCTGGGACCCGAACACGGTCACTTTCTTTGACTGTGGCAGGAAGTAGTGACCCGCCAACATTGTACGGGGATTGCGCAACGTTGGAGCCGAGTGGACCTAGATTAATGGGAGAGTGGGTTCGAAAGCTGGCATTGTCTGCAGCTGGCTCAGGGGCAGGGGGCTGGGCTGCGGTTCCCCGCTGCTCGTCAGCACCAGTTCCTGCCTGAGGAAGTGTCGGCTTGGAAGCGGCCCCAGAAGAACCCCCCGCATCGCGAGCAGCGGCGTCAGGGGAGGGGCGGCGAGAGCCGGTAACAGGTGTATGTTTGGCTGCGTCCGCGATGTGATCGTTTATTGTTTGCTCAAGCGTGGTGTTGTCTGCCTGCAGTTTTGCGACACAATCAGACAATACATCCAATTCAGCATGTTGATGTTTCTGAGTGTCAGTGAGGAATCGAACGTCATCCTTATTGTGGGTAGTATGATTGACGATAAGAGTACGCAGGTCAACATTCTCGTTAGCAAGACGAGCCATTTCAGCGTTCATTTGATCCAGGCGCGCAGTCGCGCGTGCTGACTCGGCATCCCTCTCGGCCACAGAATCCTGCAGCTGCCTTTGCAAGTGGGCCACCTCCGCTCGGACGGTCTGTAAAACAGCTGCCGTCACGTCGGGGTTGGTCACCGTAGCAGTGGGACTCACCTGCGCAGTATGAGCCCGTGCGACCTGCAGCTCAGCTACGGTCTGCTCGAGAGTGTGGACTCTGGATAGAAGCTGTGGTACATGTTGAACCTGACAGGAAGAGGGTTGAGCTTGGAAAGCGTTCTCGGCCTCACATAACTTGCCATACAAATCTTGCTGGACGGAGCGTGTATGATCGTGCAGCTCACGTGCTGCAGCTTCCGTTTCACCACGGATCGTGGCAAGATGACCTTGTAGTGCGGTGGAAGGCGCTACGAAGGCACCTGAAGCTGTGCCCGCGACTTCTCGCAGCTCTTCGCGAAGAATGCGTGCACGTTCATCGTTGTGTTGACGAATCTGAATGACGCTAGCTTCAAGTCGATCGAAGTCGGACTTGACGGCCACAAGTTCGTTAGTTTCGCGATCTCGTTGTATATCGAGACGCTGCATCAGCTGTTGCATGACCCGACGGTCCTCCTGGACGGCAGCGTCCAGGATCGAAAGACCCTGTTGGAGGTCACTCCGGAGGACGGCGGTATCAGAGGCGACAGCCTTGTGGACGAGGCTAGTTTGATATTCAACATATGTGTGCACGTGATCTCGTAGCTCAGCCATGTCTTGCATTGGCAGAGCCTCCCTATGTCGGTTTGCGGCTGGGGAACTTTGGGGCCTAATACGAACCCCCCGGACAGATGGACTCCTACTGCCGCGATCGTCTCGAATGATGTACTGATCGGGGCCACGCCTGGGGGCTTGGCTCCTAGAATGAGCACGGCGACTAGGGCCATGGTCAGAAGTACGGTTTTCGAATGCACGGACTCGCTCATAAACCTGTCCCTGTTCAATCCCTGTGTGTTCGGGCGTCCCATGGCCCCACCTTCGTGTGCCTGTACCTCTCTCTCTCGGAGGGGAGGAAGGTGTGGGCATCTGTTGAGCTGCGGTGTCCCGCTGCACTGTCTGGGACGGTGCTGCGGTGGCCCGCTGCGCTGTTTGTGGCGGGGCTGCGGTTTCCCGCCGCGCTGACTGGTGCAGTGCTGCGGGAGGGACGTCAGATGTGGTATGGAGGGTGGGGAATTGAGGCGTGAGCCCTGGAGCGGCGTGTAAGAATCGCTGCTGTAGGGAGGGCTGATCTCCAATAGGAAGTGGGGGTGCGGAAACGCTATGAGCATGCAAGGCACGAAGCTGGTGCAACTCAGCTTGCATAGCATGAAGCTGAACTGCCGCCTGGGTGGGCAACGCTGGCATTGCTGCGGTTTCCCGCTGCATTGACTGCGCTGCACTGGGTGGGGGCATAGCTTCGTCCAATCCGTCGGTTCCTGGAGAGATGGCCATGCGGGCCGCAAAATTGGGGGAAGCTCCTAGAATATCGGACATATCAGCATCCAAGTTGCGCGCGACTGACGGCGACGACTCATCATGCGGGAGGACGGACGACTGGTGTCGTGCCGTCATCCTGCATAACTAGTCCGATGTCGTCAGGTCGGGTCGCAGGTTGGACGCGATGTCGGATATAAAAGAGAAGGCTGATAACCTGTGTAAGGGTGAGGGGGACCAATGGACCGACCCCACCCCGAGTGTCCGTCGGTAGACGATGAGGGACGATGGTTTTACCCAACGTACCTCCAACTATCGAGTACCTGTCATCCGAGCCAAGAGGGGCGATGGATATGAGCAAGATAGGAGGAAAGTAGGGGGATTCACACACACCGGCGAGCGCCCCCCGAGGCCCTGCCAAGAACCGCCCGTGCGGTCGGGCAGGAAAGGCTCGTGCCGTGCAGACCCTAACGCTGGAGACCGTCTTTCTTTGGAATCGGCGATATACCGGGTTATCCGCGGGGGTGGGGGGGGAGGAGGGGGCCGGCCGATAACCTGACCTTCGCGCTGTGGGCAGCCCTGCATGTGCCCGCGCCCCCGCACCCTGGACATGCACAACCGGCAAAGTTAGGTTATCATGGGGTTGGGGAGGGGTGGGGCAAGCCCGATAACCCGGGTTATCGCTGGACCCCCCAAAAAACAGTCACCTGATTTTAAACACCGCGGGGATCGTCCCACCCTGAACGAGCGGCGGCGTTTCGATCGCCAGGTCGTTCCACAATGGCGGGCTCTGGGCTGCGCTGACCCTTGAACGCCCACGGCGAGGTCGCCGCCGCGCCAACACGGCGCCAGCCTGCTGTCGGACACCGCTGCCCCCAGACACGATAGTGGTTGATTCTTTCGATCGGGGCCCCCAGCCGTGGTTTCACCGTTTTCGAAAAGGTGCTTCTTGAAAACGGAAGCGGGAACAAAACGGCGACCGGCCAGACGTCCCGAAGCCTGTCCCCCGGGCCAGCTTCTCGTCCCGAGCCGTTCTCTGCCAGCCCCGAGGCCCGGCACCTGGTTGACCCCCAGAAGCTGAAAGTAGAGAGGGAGAGGGAGGGAGAGAAAACCTTGCGCCATGACTTCTTCGCGACGCGACGGGAACTGGGCCGCCGCCGCCGCCGCCGTCGGCCTGCGGACAGCGGCCTCCGGCGACGATGGCGACGACGACCACGACGACGAAGACGACGGCGAACAAAACGACGACGACGACGACGACGACGACGACGACGACGACGACGACGACGACGCCGCCGCCGCCGCCGCCGCCGCCGCCGCCGCCGCCGCCGCCAGCCGCCGGCCGCCGCCGCCGCCGCGCCGCCGCGCCGCCGCTGAAGCCGACGACGACGACGCCGACGACGCCGACGCCGCCGCCGACGCCGTCGGCCAGCGGCCGGCGGCCTCCGCGGACGGCGGCTCCAGCGCGGACCCTGCGGGGCGCGGCGCCGCCCCGCCTGGGAGCTGGGCGGGCGGGTCCAGCCCAGCCTTCATCTCGGCCTGCAGCTCCTCTGGGGCTGCGGGGGGGGGGGCGCCGAGGCAAGCGAGGCACTGGGGCACGGCGGCCACGATCGACGACGACGATGACGACGAAGACGACGACGAGCAGGAGGAGGAGGAGGAGGAAAAGGAGGACAAAGACGAAGACGAGAAAGACGAGGACGAGGACGACGATGACGCCGACGACGACGCCGACGACGCCGACGCCGACGCCGCCGCCGCCGACGCCGACGCCGACGACCACCATCGAGATTTTCCGAGTCTCTTGACTTTTTAAGCCTCGGGGGGCGCCCTCTTCGCCACTGCTTGGTTCCCCTCGGCCCCAGGACAGGGTCACAGCGGCCATCAAGACCACGATCACGGCGACCCCCTCATCCTTCCGCCTGATATCCCTCCTCCCTCCTCGCTCCTCTCTCGTCAACCGATATCCAGCTCCTCCCTCCTCGCTGCTCCCTCCCCAGCTCCATCCCTGCTCCTTCTCCACCTCCTCTCCCTCCTCCCTCCTCGCTTCTGCTCGCTCCCCCCTTTTCGCCCCCCTCCCCCCATGCTCCTCGGGGCGCCTGGGGGGCCGATGGGCCCGTGCGTGCAGACGGGCAAATCCAGGCAGGGCGCTGGCCCGCTGACCCCAGCTGCGTTGGCTCCCAGGCCCTTCGAGGTGGCGACGCTCGCGGCGAGCTCGCCCAATCGATGTGGATTCAATGGTGAGTCCCCCATCCCTCCTCCTTGCATTCCTCCCTCCCTCCTGCTCCCTCGAAAATCGGCCCGAGGGCCTCTCCAGGGTTGCGTTTTCGCCAGAATTTCGGGGCGGATCCAACCATGGCGACGAGGACCTCCCCAAAGGTCCAAACCTAGCCACAAGCGCCTAAATCTGGCGGCGAAAGCGATGGCGGCGGAGGCATCGGCGCTCCGTCTGGCGGCGGTAATGACGGCGACAACGGCCGCAGCGGCAGCGACGACGGCGCAGGCATCGGCGCTGCGTCCGGCGGCGGCAATGACGGCGGCGACGGCCGTGGCGCAGCGGCGGCGGCGGCGGCGGGCAGCGGCGCGGCGGCGCCCGGCGACGGCGGCACGACGGCGGCGGCGGCGCCTTGGGCAACTTGCCCTTGACGATGACCTTCCGCAGAGCGGCCTCGGGCGAGACCAGCTCTGCGTGCGGCAGCCCAGCCTCCGGCCGAGAGGGCGGAGCGGAGGGAGCCCAGACCATCCGCGACCGAAAACTGTCGGTCGAGGGTTTCGGTACAGTCGGGACCAGCCCCCGCTTTCAGTCGCGAGCGGTCGCGCCGATCCCAACTCTCGGTCGGCCCCGACAGGTCGCGACCGAACGCGATCGACCTCGAACGGGGAAGGGCCTCCTGGGGCAGGCCCTGGGGGCACCCTCCCGGGGACGTGCGGCGGCTTCGTGTCGTGACGACGGACGCGCGGGTTGCTGACGCGGCGCGGATCGCTCAAGCGCTGAACGATCGCGGCTGTCCGATCGGGCGGCTCACTCCATGTCGGCCGGCAGCGGCGTTCCACCAAGAACGCCCACGCTGGGGTCGCCGCCGCGTCGACACGACACGGACCTGTCGTAGGCAACCACATGGGGACCCTACCCCTGCAGGCCAGTTCTTCTGGAAAACCGGCTGGGGATCAGAGTTGAAGGGCCAAGTGGTTCGGGGTCAGAGCTCCACGGGCCAGATTGAAAGTCCGATGGCCCACCAACCTCGATTGGATCCGCAGGGGCAGGGCGCGCAGGTGATCGCAAAAGGGTGCCTCTCCCTGAGCCCACGCGGCGCAGAGAAGGCCAAGGGTCCGAGGCAATAGAGGCACTGAGGCACGACGACGAGAAAGACGACGACGACGACGACAAAAACGCCAGCGAGAAAGACGACGACGACGACGACGACGACGACGACGACGACGACGACGACGACGACAACGACGACGACGACGACGACGACGACGACGGCTGCGGCGACGCCGCCGCCGCCGCCGCGGGGGGCCGAGAGAACACGCGGAAGAGAGGGGGGCAGCTCAACCCGGCTCTTCTGCACGCTCGGCCTCTGGAGGCCGAGGCCCCCCGGAGAGGACCGTCGGCGGAACGCGGTCCTGGGCGGGGAGCCCTGCCAGCTTTGGTGCGCGGATGAGGGGGGCGCAAGGTGGCCAAATCCAAGCGCGCAAGCAGCCGCTATCGCATCGCGCTCAGCGGTCGGGGGGGACCCCGATGAGCCCGCACCGAAGGTCAATCCGGCGAGAAATCACTTTTGCGTCTAGTCTACGTCAGAGACCGACTCGGTATGAAAAACCGGCCCAGGGGAACGGGTCGAGACCCCTAGGGGTCGACGTGGTAATAACACCAAAAAAAACACGACGTCGACCCCTGGATCGCCGTGGGCGAGTCGGTCGGGCAGGCGGGCGGGGCACGGAACGCGCTCTTGGCGAGTGTGCGCGGGCAGGCGCCAATGGGCGGTACTAGGCGCCAGAGCCCAGTGGGTGAAAACCTCAACTGGCTGATCGAAGTGATACGAAGATGCAGCACACGCAACCAGTCAGGCCCCATGTATGCCCTACCTATGGCTGTCTGCCGCCCCTTCCGACGCTCTAGCATCATGAGATAGGTTCGCGCCTGGACCTGCTGAAGCTACCAAAAGAATCCAAACATTACTGACAGCATGTGAAAGAACACCTTTCCCTCCTCCCTCCTGCTCCTCTCTTACACCTCCTCCTCATCCTCCCCCCTTTACGCTCAAACTCGGCCACTGGACCTCGCCTGAAGCGCGCTCTGACCAGGCTTTCGGAGCGGATCCAGCCGTGGTGACGAGGGCCGTGCCCGGATGCCACAAAAGCCAAAACGTCAAAGTCCCCCATTCTCCACCTCATCCTCCTCCTCCCCAATCCTCACTGTCCTCCTCCTCCTGCCCCTCCCATCTCCTCCTCATCCCTCCTCCGCCTTCTCCTCCTCCGCCTCCTAGGCATTTCGCGCCCGAGTGCCTCACCCTGCACGGGGCGCGCACGGGCATTTCGAGCGCCGACTTTGGTATGACCTCGCGCTCGAGAGCCGTGAAGACGTGGCGCCCAGCATCATCAGAAATTTTGGGGCTGAGCTGGGGAGCGGACAAAAATAAGAAAGTAGGGGCTTAAATCCGAGGCAGTTTCTTAGCCGGCTAGCGCTCTTAATGCCTGGCGCAGCCA